TTGTAGTAAAACTCACAATATTAATTCGAACTAAACTTCAGTTGTAAAAAATGCGATTACTATGCATTTCCCTAAAATTATGAAATAATATGCAAGTCCAAATTTAAGCATAACAATCTGCACATTAAAAAACGTTTATAATATTTTATTACATCTAATAAATATAATAATATGCACTTACACACAAACATTATTGCTTTCAATAATATCAATTATCAACCTTTCGATGTGTTCACTATTGTCTTATTAAAAAGTATTATTTTAAAGTTTTTATACTTTTTTTTTGCATTTAACCACAATTATTTTTGTTTATTAACTACCTATTAAATACAAAATATGTCCCTAGTCATAACTAAAAAATCATCGTAAACAATAATTTTTTGGAATAATAAATTGGAATAATTTACGATTATTCAATACTGCAGGATTCACCTATATCATACACTCATGTCAATATTTAGAACGAAAATATACATTTTTTTAACAGTTTAGTGTTCAAAATGTTTAAAAACAATTTTCTCATTCAATTATAAGCACAAATAAATAACAAACAAGTTAACTAACGGAAGCGACTGATTTATTTTGAAATGTCAATACACATTATTATAATAAGGAAAAAATTATAAAATTATGAACTGTTTGGGCTATTGCATTTTTGAGTTAGAGGTTGATGTGAACTTCATGATTTAACAGTTCTGAAAAAACAACAAAATAGTCAATATATTATAAAATACAAGTATGTATAAAGAATCTTAGTTGAATAAAATAATAAATTAAAAAATGCATTGGTTTTTAATGAAATTATTATAGCTTTTATAAGTAAAAACAATTAAACGACATTTTATTTTAATTATAAGTTAGTAGGTAGGTATTCAGGGGCGCAATTTCAACAAAAAAGGTGGGGGTGCTGAAGCCCCTTAATTTTTTTTTTTGATATTACATTATGGTTATGGATGCCTGCATAATGACTATTAAAATGAAAATAAATATGAAAAATATTGGGGGTGCTAAGCACCCCCCAGCACCCCCCGAATTTCGCCCTATATAGTACCAATAGGTACTATATTATAAACAAAAGTAAGACAAAAAAAATAAGTGTTACACCTACATTAAAAGAAATTGAATTTCTTTAAACAAATTTCGAGGATCATATCAAAGGAATTCATATTTAATTTAGTGAGTTATGATTACTTACGTATTATGTTGTGATATAGGTTATCTTTATCAAATTGGCCTACATATTGTAATTTTACAAATAATTTAGTATTGAAATTTTGAAAAAAATATACATTTAGTTTATTACTTATTAATAGTTAATTATGATAAAAACATTAAAATATTGTATATATTTTAACGAAAAACGCAAAACAATAACGTGCTAATGAATTGTTGTACCAATTATTTTATTCATCTACCTTGCGAAAATTAAATAAAAATACATCGATCCAAATGTATTATTATACCGAACATGAAAATATGTTCAAAACAAATTAACTCGAATTTGAAAAAAAGCATCCACTGTTGACCGAAATTTAATTCGCAAAATATTACATGATTTACAATCAGCCAATCGATTTCAAAGAATGTATAGTATACTAGCTGAAATACCCGCCGTTGCCCGGAAAAATTCCTTTAGGTGTATAAAACTTATCGGTGTGCATTTATCGTTCGACGATTATAAATATGTATAATAATAGCCAATAGGACTATAGGAGTATAAATGTATAATATTATATTGGTATACATAGGTGTACGCGGGATGCATGAGATTATTTTTATTAAAGGATAGGTTGCAGGTAGCTGGAAACCCGCGGGCCGCCTTGAGCCCGTGCCGTGCAGCATTACATTGGATACGTAGCATTCGCTTGCGTTCGTTCGTGTTCGGGCTCTAATGTAAACGCACCTTAATGTCCTTAATACGTATTGAAAATTGTCCATAAATAATTAAAATTGTTAATTACTCCACTAAAACGCAACATTTTTTAAAATCCTTTCTAAATGCACGGTGAAAATATGAGAAGAACCTCTAATCCAAATTTCAAGTTCGTACGTTGCGTAGTTTTTGAGTTACAGCGATCAGTGACTAAGTGGTATTTGAATTTTATATGTATAGATAAACCGATGAAATAAAAATAATAAAGAATTTCTTATATAGTAAAACGCTAAGCAGTTGAAAAAAGTCCCGCCGAGCGCCAGGGGTTCAATAATATATTTATAAACCTCGATGGCTATGTAAGTAGTTACTACTAATATAATATTTATTTAATTGTTTAAATAAATATTATGATATAAATTTAAAAAAAAAATTAATGTACTTATGTTCAAAATTTGAATTCGTTTATGTATTTACCATTAATTGGCTGGTTGCTGGAGTGGCTTTGGCGACCGATTTGATGGCCTTAGCAGATTGGACTTGTCCTACGACGACGATGTTCATGGTTACTTTTTCAGCGCCCATTTTTGGTTTTTGGTTGGTGTTTAAGGAGTAAAGTGAAAACTGAAAGTAAACAAAAAAAAATTATAAAAAAACACGAATAATTTAAATATCATAAAGATTTCAAAGAAATATTATTTCTTATCATGGGATAATATATGATATATGTGGGTACTCACTAATTATTAGATTTGCACGAAAATTGTGTTATGCCGGAACGATACACCAGTACGTTATTTTATACACTGACGATTTTCGCTCAATGTCGAGCGGCGTGGTGGCGTGATTGTAACAAGTGGTCGCTGTTGGCTATTCACCGATAGAGTGCTTGGTGGCGATTCGTGAACCCTAACTATATCGTACGATGTCAAGATTGTAAGTTCGTAATAACAATAATTGTAACTCTTTTTGACTTCGAATATAACACGTTCTGAATTTCTGATTGATTCATATACGATTATAATGGACTCTAATATAGTTATAATATAAGATAAGTACCTCGAAAACGAAAACTTAAAATATCTAACCCTAAATTATATCCCAACTTTGTTGATAAATATATTACCTGTTTACAATAAACTTGTACTTCTAATGCAATAAAACTATCATAATTATTATTAAAGTTGCAATTTAAAAAAAAAATGATCCTCTAACAATATTAATAATGGTCGGTGACCCAGAAAGCCCATCAAAATATGAATATACATGAAACTTGTTTTTTATTATAAATGAATGTTTTTACCATTATTGTTTTTATATTTAAGTCCCTTAATTTTTCCATTTAATCACCTGGTGAATTAATCATCAATCGTATTAGATATATGATTTTATTTATGTAATTTTGTGTACATATAGCCATATAGGGGGATTTCCCAATTATGTCAGCGGCATTTTGTACTTTTATAGTTAATTTATTAAAATTAAGAGTTTTGCTGTTCAAAAATTTAGATGTTTATATACTGTTTAAAGATAATAACACTCACACAAACTCTTTTTTTTTAAGATTTTAACAAACCATTTTGCATTTGACATAATTGAAACCATGACTTTTGATGATAAATATTTAAAAGTTTGATCTTTAAGTTTACTTAAACATTTAAAAGTTCAGAATGTGAACCAATGCATAATTATTATGTTGAGCTGATGGGGAAGGAGAGGTTAATTATGTTACCTCGACTGAAAGATCACTTCACTAAGCAGAAATCTTTCGTCTTTTATTATTGTATATCAATAAAGTTTATTATTCGTAATATAAAATAAATCAGCAATTCAAATAAACGTAAGTCTGGTTGATCAACGAGAAGTAAACATATTATACCTATTTGACAATTTGATTTAGTTCATCTTTTAATCCAATTAATGTTAATAATCAATAGGAATAGCTTACATTTTGGTACAATAGTAGTTTTATATTTTTAATGTAAGTGGCTATAAAATATTGTCTTAACATTGTGACCATAAACCATAGAGTTAAAAGTTCCCCTTATCGTTTCATATAAATCATATCGACTTTTGGAAACCACTATATAATGTTAAATTGGGTTTTTCTAAATTTCAGATGGTTATACATTTTTTGTTATTTTCATGGGCGGATAGGTATTTTTTTTTACCGGGATATATTTATTAGGGCCACATATACCTAGCGCCTATGTATATTGTATATAAAAAAAATTTAACTTCTTTTGAGTTTTATCGTTGGCACATTTGCTTAACAAATCTTGATTTATTCTTTATTTTTATTTTTGTTATTCGAACATCGATTATATTTATTTATACTTACATTTTATACATTATTTAGTTTTAGCACAATAGAACATACAACAAAATAGATATGTATATATACGGTATCGACGAGTTTATATAGAGGCCCCTATGCCCTAATGGAGTATACAAATATTACAAATAAGCATTAATACTGCATTATAAAAATGTACTTTTATATTATTATTATTTTTTTTTTTTGGGCGGGGGAATGGGACCTCTGAGTATAATATTGATGGGGGACTAACGGGGAAATCCCGATTTCCCGATAAGCCTATCCGCCCATGGTTATTTTCTTAGGTAGAATACAAAAAATGTTTGTGGGTAGAATTACGGTTCAGAGGGGTAACATAAATCTAATGATTTTGATGCAATAACATGTCTAACATAAATGTCGTATCGACGTATTTGATGTATTTTACTAAACTTATATACCCACAACGATTAAAGGCTGCACAGATAATAATATAATTTAAAATTATAGCTGTAGGTAAGCTAATATTATACAAATAAGTACAATTATTTGATAAACAATGTAAATTAACGTAAACAAAATGTATAGAGATAAGATTCAAAATGTTGTATTTTTACAAACTCTACTAATATTTTTTTGTGTGTCGACGCATGGGGAACAATTTAGTTTTCTAGGTATGTATTTTAGTTGATAGTCTTTAAGATACATTTTATTATGTAACAAGGTAGAACTGACTTTGAAGTTCAAAAATCTTTTTATCACAAATTTTGCGGGTTTGTATAGCGATCTATGTATAGATATCATATGAATATTGATTTGTAAACAACCATTGCAATACCTATTACAATGATCCATCAGTGATCACGCCATCATCCCCACTTATTCATTCAGCGGGAGTGTATATAAAGTCGTCCGAGATCTCAATTCTGGCATAACACATTTTTTTGTACAGATCTATTCATTGGTAAGTACAAAACGATAGTAATTATTGTTTTATTTTGATTTCAAATTAATAATAATTTTTTTCCATTTACAGTTTTCACTTTAAACCTCAAAAACCCACCAAAAACCAAAATGGGCGCAGAAAAGGTATCCATGAACATCGTTGTCGTCGGACAAGTCAAATCTGCCAAGGCCGTCAAGACCGTCTCCAAGGCCACACCAGCCACCAACCAACTGATGGTGAGTACATGTATAACTTTTCATATAACATTAAAATGCAATTTGATAGGTATTGTAAATTTAAATTATTAATTCATGTGCTTGAAAATATAATCACCCCAATTTTTTCTATAAATATTCAAAATGTTTTGTTTGAATTTGACGAATTGAAGGACTGAAAATGTTTTCAAGATGAATAGTATATTTATTAGTTATTACATATTAATAAAAACAATAACATAAACACTTGATAACATTTTCATACGAACATTTTGTATTTTATCAATGAATTTAACTTATGATAGGTACCTAAATAAAAAAAATAAAAATATTAGTTAATAGCATTGGTATATATGTTTTAAATATTTATATTTGATGGTAAAATTAATCAATATTTTGTATGAACAATGCAGTTATAAACAATATCTATACATTTTTTGTTCCTTAATTAAAATTTGTTATCAAAATATTAAATACATTATTTTTATACTCTATTATTTAAATTTCAAATATTCATTTTAATTTACTGGTTATTTTTTTTTTTTTGTTTCATACTTACCTATAATGTATTTTTTATTACACTTTAAAACGTAAAAACAGTTGTTTAGAATGTTTGAATGTACATTTAATTAATGATCAATAATATTTATCTTATTTCATTTTTTGTTTTTTTTTTTTTCAGAACTGTTAAATCATGTAGTCTACATACATTGGAAAACTCAAAAATGCCATAGCCCAAATAGTACAATAATATGTAATTCATTTCAATATTTACAACACAAAATAAATCAATAATTTCTGATGAATTTAACTGTTTTGTGTAATTATTTTAATTTTTACCAGGTTTCGTGGACTTTATGGACCACATTACAGGTCCTTGGTTTTTTAATCAATAGGTGGCATGAATTATAAAACTTATTTTTAATACCTATTATTATTTTGCACTGCTTAATATGATCATGAATACTTCTGTAGTAAATATCAGTGATTATAACATTGGTACTTGATAATATCATCCGATATTGTAATAAAATATTATTAAAGATAGATTATTATAAAAATATAATAATTATCATTTTAAAACGATTTATCGATTGATAACATAAGTTTTTAGTCACTTCAGGTTTGACTCAAGTATGTCTCACAAAAATGTTGTCATTATGGTTTTAATGACTTCAATTTATTATTTATTTGTTGGCCGTAATCGAAATAATCAGAAAAATTTCGTAGTATATTCGGTTAGGTTAGTGATTTAATTTAATTGACCTTAGTGAACAAAAGTTGAGTGTTATTATTAATAATAATGTAAAAGTAGAATAATATTGTATTGATTTTAATCAGACTTTAATTTTGCCAAAATTATAATATTATGTATAATTGCGATGAACGTTGTGTTAGATAGGTATTGTTAATTGTTTTTGAATAAAACTAAAATACTAAAACACTTAAAAATAGTCAAGCTAAATTAAACTTTTAATTCTCCCTTTTTTGCAAAGCATTAATATTATAATAGTTATTATTTTGTGTTTTAGAGAATTGTTTTTGATTAAGATTGATGATTTGAGCTTGTTTTTTATTTAAAGGTTAAAAATATGGTATTATTCTTTGATGCATCCAATATTGGTATTTGGTAACATACGAAATAATTTAGATTGAAACGTCCTAAAATATTCGTTCTACATAATATTCATGGGTACGTCATTTACTAACAGTATTTTCGAATTTTAACATAAGTAACTGATTTTAATAACAAAACTAATCTAGATTAGAGTTTTCTCAAAGAAATATTATAATATTGCAATTAGTGGGTAAATAATAAGGACAAACACTAAATTTAAAAAATGGAATATTGTATACTATTTAATATTTATACTTATATTAAGTGATAAATAATTTGTATAGTATTCAATTATATTCATTGACAAGTATACTCTTTTAAAAACATGTTTTAATATTGGACAATAAATTTTATAAATAAAATAAAAATGAAAAACATTCTATCAACAAATAATTTAATAAAATTATGTTATATTATATAAAGTTGGAATAAAAAGTTGGAATGCATTACTGTAATCTACAAAAGCAAAAAGTTCACTTATCATTGAAATCTGTGCCTCATCTATATTATTTTTTCTCGAAGAAGATTCGAGTAAATATTGTATTCGTGGCTTGTTGACAGTTTTCGCCGAGAAAAGGCAATTCATAAATATACTACAAAATAAAAAAGTGAACATTTTTTAAACAATTTCAATTGCACACATTTTGAGAAAAATACAAATTAAAAATTAAAACTGCATGCAAAATAAACTAGTTGGTATTAAAAAAAAAATTGACTACCATGTATTTTGATAGGCTATCTTCAGTAAAACGGCTACGGTTAGAGGTTAAAATATTTTTGTACATCGAAAACGATCTTTCTACGTCCACCGAAGTTATCGGGGCGTATTTCATACTTAAATAATTATCTAAATTAAGATTGCTACTTGATAGATGGTCATCGCTTGTGGTTTCTCCAATCAATACTTGGTTAGGTTATAACTTATAACTTATAACTTATAAAATACAAGAATACCGGTCAAGATGTAATGAAAAGAAATAATTGCAAAAAGAGTACATCACCAGCCACACATGGTGTTCCTACCACGCCGCCCGAAAGCGCAGCTACAAAATCGGGGCTCTACTCATCCATGCTGTGGTGCTAACGGTGGGTTAAAAAAAAGTGTCGTCGCCGGGCTTAGTCAGTCGCAAAACGCACGTAAAGACGAAGGGTGAGTGAGACAATGGGAGCAAGATAAATAGAGAGCATTATAGATGGTATTTAAATTAGTCAGTCGATATTTTAATGCACGGCATCGGTCGAGTGGGGAGATTGTATATTCCGCCCGAAATGAACAGGTAAAAACAAGGTCTGCGGTAAATTCCTCCCGGAAAAATATCCAAGTAAAAAAGGTACATGTAAATTCCGCCCGAAAAAATATACAGGTACAAAAATAGTTCCGCCCGGAAAAATAAATATTTTTAAACTAAGCGTTCCGTGACTGTAAGACGCGACCGTACTTTTCGCGACGCGGCGCGTGTTATAACTTATAGTATTGGGAAGTCACAAAATGTTCGAATATGAACAAAAAATAAATAGTATGGAAGTGATATTTTGACTTGTATTTATTATTATTATAATTTTTACTATTTTACGATTTTTAATACTTTTATATATATTGTGCTAATTATTGATTATGATTTAATTTTACTATAATATTATGATTGTTATATTTACTTTTATAATTATTACTATTCTTACGGTTATACATGATTTATGTTGTAATTATTGACTTAATATGTGAAATATATATTTATTTAAATAGCCACTTCTAAATTATAATGTTTAATCTATGTTATGTCAGTAATAATAATATGATTAATAAGACACATTTAGAAATATGTTTATTAACAGTAATACATTTTTTCGGGCGGAATTTACATGTATGTTTCTTTACCTGTATTTTTTTCCGGGCGGAATTTACATGTACCTTATTTTACCTGTAGTTCATATTGGGCGGAATTTACCATTTTCGGGCGGAATTTACATGCGCCCGTCGAGTGTGCCCGGACTATGGAGATTGCAGAGCCGTGCACTCGTCGCATCGGCAGGTGTGGAGTTTGATCGGAGGACCTGAACCAACGGGACGTTACACTTACACATACACGTAAATAATAATTAAATGATAAATATATATATTAAACTGTGGAACCAATATTCTGGTCGTCTATATAATATTGTACGAGTATGTCAGTGTAGAAATTTGCCTAAACGTTCCAATAATCAATGAATAATTTTTAATAATACTGTTATGATAACTGATGAGGAACCGTGTGCGCTGTCGCGCTGATGACTGTAATTTCTATTTAAGGAAGTAATGCGAACATTTTATGTTGACTCGTCTCACCTAGACATCGACTAAGTGATAATATTCTAAAACTATTTCACCTAAATTATATATTCAATATTGACAGTATTTACTATTTAATTAATATTATTGAATTTTTTATTTTGTAATTTGTATCATTATTCATTCCAATCATTCCATGATAGTATAATCAATATGCAACAGTGTTCTGAATTTTATTAATGAAAATATTTTATTCTTATATACTAGTCAAGATGTGATGAAAAAAAATATATAATAGATAGTAAAATAGAGAACATAATAAAATATTTAATATTTTGTAATATGATGTAAAATATGACTACTGATTACTATGTATTATAGGTAGGTAGGAGATAGTTGTCGAACGATGCGAGAACATTTTTTTGAGTTGGCACATTAATGCATCTCACCCCCTTTTATTATTTCGTTCGGGACGGTCCTGCATTTATTATATTCAATGTCCGTATTTAAATATCCTAAAAATGATTAAAACATACCTTATAAAAACCATTATTGTATACACTTAAAAATAGCTTAGTAGTTAAACGATACAAATATATTATGCACGTAGTAAATTTACAATGAGTATACAAATTACAGCACGCTATTATATCTTTGAAATTCCATTAAAATAGAAACAGAGACTTATAAAGGATGACTTAGAAATGTATAAATAAATAATAAACAAATAAATAATTGGCGGAAGTGACTGGTTTATTTTGTAATATCAATACACATTTTTAAAATTATAAACAAATTATAAAATTATGTACTGTTTGGGCTATGGCATTTTTGAGTTTGAGGTTGATGTGGACTTCCTGAATTAACAGTTCTAAAACAAATCAAAAATAGTCAATTAATACAACATATTTACTATAATATAAGAGTAAAAAATCTCGATGGTATTGGTATACTAATAAAAAAATAATAATCGAGGTTAAGAAAGTCATCATTATAGCTCATTATTTCATATATGCAAACAAATTTGACATTTAAGTGAAAAGTTAGTACTATTACCGTGTATATAATAAGATAAAAGTAATATATGTTAATATTGGTTGTAAAAACATTATTGTGAACTTTGAACATTTACAAAGTATTTTCTAGAAATGTTTGGGAATTTCATCAAAGTCATTTAGTAAGTTATGATTACAAATCATATAGAATATATCCATAGATAAATAAATCTGTGATAAATAATTTGACAATAAATAGAATCGATAATAAACTACGTAGGTTCATTAATATTATTTAATTATTACAAAATTATAAAATTGCATGTATTATATATTATGATACTAGCTAAACAATAATGATTTAATATTTGTATTAATTACCCATTGGCCATTGTATCCATCTATTTTATTTAAATAACACCAATCATAATTAAATTTGACAAATAATGTTCCAATAAACTATTCAAGAATTGTTTGATTTAATTTAAAATATTATAATTAAGAATATACATTCAAAAAAAACTAATTGTAATTATTATAACAACAACAACTAATGGTCGTTGTCGACGATGTATTGTTTAGATCAATAAAAAAAAAATCTATTCAAATAAAATATATACCCACTTATAATTATTTAATTATCATTAAAACAATAAATTATAGATATTTGTATTGTTCTTGCTAAGCAAAAATTAAATAATAAAGGTACCTATTTTATAACCTGTCTTCGTATGTAAAGAAAATTGAAACAAAAATAACAATACGAATTGGAAGGAAATACAATCACACTATTATTTAAAACGAAAATAATCACATAATTATTAACTCACCATCAATTGGCTGGTGGCTGGGGTGGCTTTGGCGACCGATTTGATGGCCTTGGCAGATTGGACTTGTCCGACGACAACGATGTTCATGGTTACTTTTTC